TTTTTTAAAATAAAAAGATACACTAATATGAGTTTTAAATTTGCTTGACTACTTGGACAATTGTGGTATTAAAATAAAAACCGTATCTAATCGTATCACCCACATGATTTTCTTTGAGGATTTGATTCTTTGGTTCAACCAATATACCCACTATACATGCATATCTATTTTAATGGCACTGCGCACTCTATCACCATTAGAATAGCACGAATTATCTGAATTGTCTAATTTTTATTTGTATATTTTCAATAAAACCCAAATAATATTTTAACGGTATTATTAATTTTTTTTATAGTCACCATACAAACGCCATATTATTATTGAAAAAAGGGAAAAGTATATACACTATTATATATCTTCATGCATTGAATTTGGTATATTTTTTTAATTATTTTCGACCCGCAAGTAACCAAACCGTGTTAGTCTTTCAAGCCAACACGAGAAGCTCTTCACCTGGTTGATGCCATTTTTATTTATTTATTAAAATCATATTCGAAATTGATATTATTTTTACAATTTTTTATAGGAAATAATTTCTAGTTACAATTTTTTTAATTATTATTTTTTAAAATTATTTTACAAAGTTGATTAACTATTTTTCAAAATTTTATTTTTTAAAATCATTATCTCTTTCATTGATAATGTTGCTATTGCTAATACAGAAAAAGTTTCATCTATTTCATTCATAATATTGCTAGCGACATCATTTTTAAATTGTAGATTTATTTATTTTTAACGCAATTAAACCCATAAACTTTTAAGTTCTCTTTCTCCCTTTTTTTTATAATTAAAATGTCTTTTAGAACTATAAAATACGAGTTCGATATGGGAAAAAAAAGAATCGAAGAATTAACTCAATCTATAAAAGGAGTATTTGATAAGTTTATAACCAAGGAATCACAGACTCTTACTCCAAATCCAAATGATGATTAGAAATAATAAAATAAATACGTATAAAATTATACATTGACGTAGATCTAAATATATATTTTTATATAAAACCCTTGACATATACATTTGGAGATAAAATAGAAATGTCAGAGCGACGGATACCCATTTCTGTTTTCCATCTTTAAAATAAAACCAAATTGAATCGAATAACATTCAAATAGTTCGAATCCAATCTGATTCAAAATCATCAATATAATTTTATTTAAATTAAATTTAATGAGTACTAAACAAATATAAAAACACCCGTAAAACGAATTGAAAAACGTGAATCTTTTTAGAAATGAACATTTTTCTTAACATGGTCAAACTCTAATCAAATATAAATTATATATATATATATATATACCATAATCGAAGTTGAATCTAACCGAAATCCAAAACATCTATATATTTTTCAGGAATAAGCCAAAGTAATGTTCCTTGTTTTGTTTTTTCAATAACGATGTTTGTTCTCTATCCTATATTTGAACTTGATCTTAAATGTTAAAATTACAACGAGTTGCATATAGTAATGATGATGACGTTCAAATTTAAAGTTATTTAACTTTAGAGTGACAAACAGTAGCAAATAATATTATCATTTGTATACAATTTTTAATTAATAACCGTAGTTTATGTTGTGGACTCAATCACACCAAATTCTGTTATATATATGTATGTATGTATGTATGTATGTATGTATGTATGTATGTATGTATTAAATTAGGCTTAACGGGCCGAATTTAAGTGCATCATAGACGAATTAGGCCTTGATGGATCGCCCGACCCGTTTCATTGTCCATTTCTTGATTTCCGCATATTACTGGGTCTGGTCTCAAGGCCCATTTAAGTTTTCTTTTGTAATTTCATAAAATAGTTATCCATTTTTATGGGCCTAAATCCCGCAATATATTGAGCCTCTAGGCCCATTTATGTTACCTTTGCAGTTTCGTGAAACCGTTGGCGTGTTGGAAGATTTATCTTTGGTTTAGTTTGGTTTAGTTTCATTTCCGGTTTATGTTGGTTTTGGCTTAGTTGTTGGTTAGCTTTCTAGTTTGTTGCTCAGTTGTATGAATGCTCGTTTGTTTTTTCATTTGAAGAAATTCGAGAAAATTTCCACAAATTTGAATTTCGTTTTCCTCCTTTCAAAATGGTGAAAATCGTTTTGGCAGTGAAAGAGAGATTATGGGTGGAAACGAGACGGGATTTCGCCGCGAGTGAGGCGAGTTCGATCTCCGGTTGTTTTGCAGTTGATTCGCTCGCTCGGAATCGGGGTATGGTCTCCTGCTTCAATCTCATAGTCCAGTTTCGGAAATTTTCTGTGGAATCCAATATCTGTTTCTAATTCTGTCTCTATATGAAGACCATATGAGGTTTTGACAAAGCAGAAACCATCTTATGACAATTTGCATGTTTTCGGTTGCTTATGTTATGCAAGTACTATTTTGAAAGATCGTCATAAGTTTTCCCCTAGAGCAAAACCATGTGTTTTTATTGGATATCCACATGGTGTCAAAGGTTACAAAGTTTTAGATCTTGAAACATATAAGGTCTCCATATCACGCAATGTAATCTTTCATGAAGATAAATTTCCTTTTAGAACAGAGTCACTTCCTGATTCCACAATTTCTTTCTTTCCTATGTCAGTTTCAGACTCGTATTTTCTCTATGACTCTGTTCCATCTTCTTCAGCTACTTTATTACCTTCTTCTAATGTTGTTTCTGCTTCCTCTCCTCTTCCTGAGTCTTCTCCTTCTGTAGAATCTGTATCTATGGATATAGATAATACAAAAGCCAACCGAGTATCAGAGAATATTGATAGACCACACAGACATATCAAAACACCTGCATACTTATCTGACTATCATTGCTACCATATGACCCATTCTCGTCCACCACCTTCTACTCAGACCACACCTTATCCTATTTCATCTTTTATCTCATATAATAACCTTCTTTCCTCTTATAAACACTTTGCTTTATCCATTTCTGTTGAACCTAACCCCACTTGTTTCACAAAGGCTGTGAAATTTAATCATTGGAAAGATGCTATGAATCTGGAGCTAGAAGCACTGTCTTGGACCAAAACCTGGACCATTTGTGATTTGCCTAATGAGAAGAAGCCAATTGGCTGTAAATGAGTGTTTAAAACAAAGTACAATGCTGATGGATTGGTAGAAAGGTATAAGGCTCGTTTGGTTGCAAAAGGTTATAATCAAGTTGAAGGGATAGATTATGTGGAAACCTTCAGTCCGGTTGCAAAGTTAACCACTGTTAGACTTCTTATTGCTATGGCTGCTGCAAATAATTGGATATTGGATCAAATGGATGTTTCTAATGCCTTCTTAAATGGAGATCTAGATGAAGAGATCTATATGACATTGCCACCTGGTTTTGCTCAGCTTCAAGGAGTAAAGATATCTTCTAATTCTGTTTGTCGGTTACAGAAGTCATTATATGGCTTGAAGCAGGCTTCTCGCCAATGGAATCAGAAACTATCTCAGGTTTTGATCAATGCTGGTTACTTACAGTCTCATGCTGATAATTCTCTGTTTTTGATGAAGAAAGGGGACTTGATAGTAGCAGCATTGGTATATGTTGATGATATTTTGGTGACTGGGAATAATGCTGCAATGGTTCAACAACTCAAAGATACTTTGAACTCTAGTTTTCTGGTTAAAGATCTTGGTAGTTTGAAGTTCTTCTTGGGGCTGGAAATTGCTAGATCACAGAAGGGTATTGCACTTTGTCAACGGAAGTATGTTTTGGAGTTGTTAGAGGAGTTTGGTTTCTTAGGATGTAAACCTGTGGTTACACCTATGGATTCTCGACTTAAGTTGACAAAGGAATCTGGAACTTTGCTGGATGATCCTTCTTATTACAGAAAACTTGTTGGAAAATTGATTTATCTTGCTGTTACTAGGCCTGATATTTCATTTTCTGTTAACAAGCTTTCGCAGTTTATGTCTCAGCCACGATCGGAGCATTTAAATGCAGCATATAGAGTTCTGAGGTATTTGAAAGGCGCGCCTGCAACTGGTTTGTTTTATGCTGCTGATTCACCTATGGCTCTGATTGGTTACAGTGATGTTGATTAGGCTTCTTGCCCGGATACTCGTCGTTCTGTCACTGGTTTCTCTGTTTTTTTGGGTTCCAGTCTTATCTCTTGGAAATCAAAGAAACAAGTTACAGTTTCAAGGAGTAGTGCTGAGTCGGAGTATCGGGCTTTGGCTCAAACTTGTTGCGAACTCACTTGGATTTCATCGCTGCTGAAGGAGCTCTATGTTGAGTTTCCTTTACCTGTTACCTTGTTCTGTGATTCGCAATCAGCTATTCATATTGCTAGTAATCCCGTATATCACGAGAGAACTAAGCATATTGAATTAGATTGCCATGTTGTGCGTGAGAAGATTAAGAGTGGATTTCTGAAGATTCAACATGTTTCATCTGAAGAACAGGTTGCTGATCTTCTTACGAAGTCTCTCACTCCTGAGCAAATGACGTATTTGTGCTCCAAGATGGGCATTCACAATGTGTATGCTCCATCTTGAGGGGGCCATATGAAAACCATGTCTTTAGCTCTCATTTTTGGTTTACGGTTATGTGTTTTCGGTTAAGTATTTTTGGTTTAGTGACATTTAGTTTGGTTTAGCTGGTTTAGTATTTCTGATTGTATAAATACGATTTGGCATTTTATTTTTGAAATAATAGAGAAAATTTCCACAACCCAGATTTGTTCGTTCTCTTATTTCTCTCTCGATTTACAAATTCGAAAGTCTCTGCCTGTCTGTCCCCGTCTCTTCTATGCTCGATTTTGATTGTTTTGTTCTTTCTTCGAAGAATTTTTCTAGGGTTTCTGTATATGTGTCTGTGTGCTGGACTGAATCTGGAGTTCGTTTCACGTTTAGATGTTTGATCGATCTGTGGACAGCTAGAAATCGTGTTTGTCATCCGATTTTCGAACATATGTGATCTGTTTAGGAATGAGATGATTTTGAGGTTGTTCTGTGATACTGTTGTATCCGATTTCTGACGTTCCTTCCTTTTTGATGAAATTCTAAATCATCGAGTGGAATGAAGGACACGATCTTTATTGATTTTTTCTTCAATTTTTGTTCTTTCTAAAAACAGTTCAGATTTGTGGCCAAGAAGACGAATCATACAAGAAATCACTGAGGATGTGCTCCAAGAACAACTTTGTCGGGATACTCTTTGGCATTCCCTTTGGGATTCTCCTCGAATCTCCTTAGACTGAAATGCTTCAGCTCCACCCCTCCTCCGGCCACCCCCTCCGTCGCCAGCTCACCGAGAATCCGCCCCACCGCCGGCGCCATCTTGAACCCATGGCCGGAAAACCCTCCCCCGACCACCACGTCCTTCCCGAACTCCCCTCCCAAGAAATCCATCACGAAATCCTCGTCCGGTGTCATCGAGTATATACACAGCTGTGTCGCCACCGGGCCCTTTGCCCAATCCACCATCCCTCCGAACCTCTCCTTTATCCATTCCTTCAGTTCTTCCAGCCTCACTCCTGGTCTCCATGGCCTCTTGTCCGGGTCACACCGGTTCCCCCCGTGAACCGCCACCTTTATCAGTCCCGGGTACTCCAGTGACGGCGTTCCGTACACGTACGGATCACTGTAGCTCGCGAATGTCGGGAAATCCCCGTCTATCGCGAATTTACCCTCGTGCCCTTCTTTGATCCTCCAGTAACACACCGTCGTCTCCAATGGCTCCACCGGGATATCTTTTCCGGCAACCGTTTTCACAAGCTTTGGTATCCACGCACCCGCCGTGATAATGCACTTCTTGCCGAGGAATTTATCGCCGTTTGCCGTGGAAACCACCACTCCTCCGCCGGTTTCCTCGTCTTTTACTATGTTGTCCACTTTGGTGTTGTCCCTTAAAACGGCGCCGTTTCTCATGGCAAGCGTCTGAAACATGGAAACCGCCTTCGTGGGCTTGATCACGCCGCCGATCTCGGTGGTGATTCCGACCCAATTCTCCGGTATGTTGAACCTGCCGGAGAAAAACTCGGCCACGGCGCGTGAGTCGAGGATCCGATGCGGCAGGCCGTGCTTGCGACACGTGGCGACGACGGCGTTGAGGGATTTCTGGTCCGTCGGGCCCATGTCGAAGTGTTTGGTCGGGAAATGAACCCTGTAGCCGATCTCCGACTGAGCCACTTCCCATAACTCGGCCGACTCGGCGACCAGGGCGTTGTAATAGTCCTCCGGGTATGTGGCTCGTATGGTGCGTGACTCGCCGTGGGACGATCCACGGTGGTGGAGGAAGTCGAATTGCTCGAGAAGCAGCGTTTTCAGGCCTCTTTTCGATAGCTGGTACGCGGCGGAGGAACCCATAACTCCGGCGCCGACAACGATCACGTCGAAGCATCGGTCGCCGGAATAATCCATCTCCAGTGAAGGAATCTTCTGGTTGTGATAGAACGAGAAACGCAGTGTTATCTCTCTGACTCTGCAGTGTACGCGTCCGAAGAAAATTTTAAAGCCCAGTTGCAGTGAAAAAGGACAATATTGGATGCTTAACTACGATTTTGCCATTCCACCATCTCTCTCCAATAATATATTCTGCAGAGGAAGACAAAGGGATTTCCACGTAAGGCCAATGCACGAGGAGAAGTGAAGGAAACAAATTCGTCTGAATTTATAATAATAAATTTAAAATAAGAATGAAAAATGGAGAATAAAGTGGTGTGATAAATGATTTTGTTGTCTAACTCATTATATATTATTCTTCAGCAATTTAGGGAATATAATTTGAGACACTACTCACCAATCATGTTGCTGAAAAAGTTCATCACTAATCCACTAGTTATTAATTTATTAATCAATAATACTCAGAAATAGAAAGTAGATGAACATACAATAAAATGCAGAATAATTTGAGTTTTTTGAAAAATATATATGGGAAAAGCAGCCACCTTTTCAAAAGTGGGAGACGTCAAGGAGTTGGAAGTGTGTGGAGATGGCGACATACTCTCGAGTGATTGCGTATATATATATATATATATACATAGACCAAATATAATATTATGAATATTCATATAGATATATTATATAATTTGTTTTCAACAAAGAAACCCCAAAACAACATCAAACAAGTCACAATAATGACAGAAAATCAATAGATTTCACTTCAGGTATACATTACCAATCCATTTGGTCTTCAAACATGCAAAAAAATCAAAGAAACAAATGGTTTTAGCTTTGGTAGAATAGTGACAATAGCGAAAATGAGGTTTTGGTGTCGAACAATTTCAAAATAAGCTGCAATAAAAATATTTAATTTCATCATTATTGATTCTCACTCAGGGTTTTCTTATTGAGAAAAGGAAAGGTAATATTATCTTTTTGCACTCATAAATATTTTAGACAATTTGCTTAAAAAGAGACGTATCAATTGTAAGAAAATTTCACTCAATTTTTTTTGGAGTATACCACAGAAATTATAGGTACACCAAAAAGGTATTTGAACAATTTGCACATTGAGAGACAAACGCATTTAATTTACCTTAATTTAATTTTTTTAATTGGAATCTGTTTATTTATTTGATGAAATAGACTGCTTTAGTCAATTTACATCCTTGAATATTTTAGTAATTTGACAATTTTAGTAATTTGATAGCAAAATGTATAAGGATAGTTTTGTTGGAAGAACAACGAAATTTATGTTTTGAATAACATTCAACTATAAATCGATACATTTAAATCTTTTATATTCATACTAATCTTTGTTCATCCCTGCGACGATTTTTTTTAAGTATATAGAAGAAAGTCATTCCACTCATTTCTATTATTTATTTATGTTTGTCTGAGGGGCTGAGTTGTATTTTGCATATTTGCGTGTTGTTTGATGAGGGAAGATTTTTTTTTTTGTAAAAGCCCATATATAGCAAACTTAAAAGCCCGCATTTAAAATTTCATATAAATGCACTTTAAAGCCTAAATAATAAAGCCCATATATAAAGGAGCATAAAACCCAATTAAAAGCCATAAGAAAGCCCAAATAAAAGCCCAGTTAAAAGCTCGTATAAAGCCCATTTACCAGTAGAGAGTAGACATCCTTCTCGGCTTCAAATTTTGCTTATAAACGCGCCGATAGCGACAACTCAAAAATTTGCTTATATAGCAAACTCGAGATTTTGATTTCTTCCCGTTTTCTAAATCAGAAACCCTATTCTCAGGATTTGAAAGGGAAAAAAATTGTTCTTTCCCATCCCAAATCGGGAAAACTTCAGGATTACACCTTTATCTTTGGTGTCGCAGGGCTATCAACAATACACCTTTAAAACACAAGAAATTATCAAATTACAAAGTTGTCCTTAAAAAAATTGGAAAAGTCTTTGATATCCTTAACGAAACAGAAGGTGTGACATATACACATAGGTAGGTTAAACAAATCCGTATGTTCTAGAAAGATATAGAGGATTTAGGGTTTTTTTTTTATTATAAATTCGAAAAAAATCAGAGAAAAAACGAGATGGGAGAAAAAGAGAAAGAAGTTCAACAAGCGAAACTTATGCGAAATTGAGGAAAATCTAGCGAAATCCGCCGAAATCAAGTGAAAAAACTCAGAATCGAGAGAGAAAATGGAGGAGTTATCTCCGTCTTCGTCGAATGTGGAAGGCTCAAGTTCGACGGGTACATCTGAATCAACCGAAAGAGTAGATCCGATAAGGAGAACGACAGGGGTTTATCCTGATACCGATGTAAGTATTTCGGTTGATTTTTCTTCGAATGGATAGGCCAAAAGAGTAGATCTGGGTTGAAATTTGGTTTCGGTCGATCATTTGTGTGAAATCGTTGAGATTATATGAAGATTTAGGGTGAAATTTGTGCCCAAATGCTATTTATCGTATTTTCAACTTAAATTATAAAGTTTTTGGTATCTATAAAATAGTCGTAGTTGCCAAAAAAATATTATAGAAGTGTCTGGTGCAAAGTATTTTATACATAGTAGTATTTGAATATATATATATTAGTTGTAAAATGTAATTGAATGCCGGGATCATTCAATACAACGGTATGAACACGATACCAAGGCAAACCCATGGAAATACTCCTTTATCAACGAAAAATAGACACTATGTAACTTTATTGCATTGGAACTATGGACCCCCTTTTTTTTAGGTAATTTTTTCGGAGAAAGGATTAATATTTGTTCTTTTTTTTTAGTAATAATGGAACAATTCGATTCAGGTCAAGTTTTATTACAATTACTTGAAATGCGTTTGGATAACACCCTTTTTCGATTGGGTGCCCTCATTTTATTGCAGGATGAAGAGAGAAAACATTGGAATTGGTGTTTTGTGTGTAAACATTGATACATGTGACAAAAAAATGAGAAAATTTGTCTAGATTCGGTTTATGCATAAAAAAACAAGCACAGATAGTCGTATATACTGCCAAAAACAAGTTGTAAATAAAGATCAAGAAATTGCGACCAAGAAATAGTAGCAATTGTGATCAAATTAATTGAAAAAGCCACATGGACAATGAAAAAAGCGAAAATATTTAAAAATATGACAAATGAGTCTATTTAAGAGAAAAAAAATGAATATTGAAATTAATTAAAAAAGCCACGTGGATACATTAAAATGAAAATATTTAAAAGTATTTCTAATAGATTTTTTTCAATCTAAATATAAAAGGGTATTTTTATGTAAGGTTATATAAGTCATTTTACATCAAATGGGTGTAAAATTTGATAGATTTTTAGGAGTATATGGTTGATAGCAATGGAACACCAAAGGTGTATTTTTTTTTTGTTAAAACACCAAAGATGTATTCCTGTAATTTATCCTCTCACATCGTCCAGTTCTCTGTACATTCTTCTCTCTGCACATTTTCTCAATAGGCATCTTATTTGGGGGTTTATCAGAAATGATCTTAAAATGCTACTTGTACTTCATGGACTACCCTTCTCTCAGAAAAAAAAATACCTCTTTCAGATATATTCTTTCCATATGTACAATATCCATAAGGTTGAATAAAAATTTCCATCAATACTCCTTTGATATAATTGCTATGCTTAGTGTGTGACTCGTTGGTCACCGCAGTAGAGTTTAACCACCAAGTTCGGGATGGATTGGTGTTGTTCCTCTACGCCCTACACAACTGTCATTGTTCACACATCACATGTGGATTGGCTGTTTCAAATAATGAATATTATTCGATTTTCGAGACGAAGAAACTATCAAATATGTCAAAAAAAATTACATTAATTATACCCTTATATTATAAAACAAATAAAATAAAAATAAAAAATAATTTCCTTCCTAAAAAGCATCATTGATTTCTCTCTCCTCATTATCAGATTTTTCTCTCTCCGTCGACATTTTTTATTCTCTCTCCTCCAGCATTTATACTTTCTCTCTCCTCCATTTGCTCTCTCTCCGTTTGCTCTCTCTCTCGTATCTTGCTCTCTCTCTCCTCCGATTTTCACTCTCTCTCCACCGCCACCGATTTTCTCTCTCTCTCTCTCTCTCCATCGATTTGCTCTGTATCTCTTATGATTCTCTCTCCTCCAGCATTTGCGCTTTCTCTCTCATCCGTTTGCTCTCTCCCTTTGTTTGCTCTCTCGTATCTTGCTCTCTCTCCTCCGATTTTCATTCTCTCTCCGCCGCCGCCGATTTGCTCTCTCTCTCTCCATCGATTTGCTCTGTATCTCTTCTGATTTGCTTGCTCTCCCTTCAGATTTGGTCTCTGTGTCCTCACATTTGCTTCATTTATCCGATTTACTTGCTCTCTCTTCGATAATTTGCGAAACTGCTTCAAATCTCGTGGAAATAGGTAAGTGTCGACTTAAATACTGTTATTCTGTGGGTTTTTTCTTGTTTTTGAGTTGTTTACTGTGTTTTGTGGGAGAAAATCGAGTCACATGAGACATTTGGACATATGAGGCATATGAGTTACATGGGTTACACAATCATATGAGTCATATATATCACATGGGACAGACACATGAGTCACATAGATCACATGGGTCACGGGTCACATGGGTCACTTGGGTCACATGGGTCGAATTTATCGAATTAGTGACTTGTCATTGTTATGCAGTGATTAATCATGGATTTTAACATCAATAACAACTTCAAAATCATGTTCGTTTCAATTTTCATATTCATTCTGGTAATGTGTCATTCGGTTTGTAAATTTTTTTTTACAGGTATAATGGATGTAATGGAGAGAACTACAATTATTTATTTTCTCTGTGAAGGAGAATGGATTGTGAATAAGAACGTAGAATACGAATGGAACTGGAGAGTTATGGACAACCAAAGATTGTTGTTCTTTTGTCCTCTGTAATACCCCGAAACCCGATTTGAATATTTAATTATTAAAAATTAATAATTAAATAGAGATATCACGAAATCACCAAAAGTGATGGTACAATATCGGGGAGAGGCACGAGGAGCGTCACGTGCGGAAAGGAAGCCCTCATTTTATTGCAGGATGAAGAGAGAAAACATTGGAATTGGTGTTTTGTGTGTAAACATTGATACATGTGACAAAAAAATGAGAAAATTTGTCTA